GATAGCATAGGATAATCAAATGAATCTTACCTTTAGTTTGACAGCAAATAATACTTTCACTGCTTTTATGAACACAAATCCTATCAACTGATGATCGACTCAATTGACGCCACACTCACTCACACTCGAGACACTATGACTACACGCACGACATCTCACCATCGCTTCCAACACTTCCCACACATTGGCACTCGTCTCGCAGTTATTGCATAACCACTCAATACAATTCAATGCTACTGAATGTCACACATAAGCCATCATTTCTATGCAATTGATTCACTTTTTAAATGCTTTCATATATTTATTAAATCCATTTCCAACTCACAATTTAAAGTCCATCACTAAAAACTTTAAAACTTTATTTTAAGGTGCACAATTTAGTACTTTTATATTGTATAATTAACAATGCAATTAAGGTCAAAATAATAGTCTATAAAAGGCCCAAATCATATTTAAATAGCCAAATGTCATAGCATTGAGTGCTGACAATTTGTAAACAATGTTTTTATGACTATAATAATTAACTAATAATTAATAATTAGTCAATAATTAACAGTAAATTGTTAACTTTATTAATAATTTGTCTGCAAAACACTGTTTTGAATTCTCCTCTCCTCAACACCTGGTTAACTCCGGTATTACTGCTGTTAGGCACGGAAAGCAACGCTACTATACAAAGCGAAGTTATTAGTGTTGGTTTTGCACTCATTTACAGATAATGTCCTCATTTTAATGAATCCATGTCTTCATCTTATTGACAGTAATTTGGATCCACTGACAGAGACATACGGTCTGTCCTTTTATCTGCAATACTTAGCCCATTGGCCGGAATGCTTCCAAGTGGTGGAGGCGCCCAATGGACACATCATGGGATACAGTAGGCATACCACGGATTGTCTGACCAGAGATGAGATTAAGTGATGTTTTGTTGCAGTCATGGGTAAGATTGAGGGACAGGGAGACCAATGGCACGGACACGTGACAGCCCTCAGTGTTGCCCCGCAGTACCGAAGACTCAATTTGGCCGCAAAACTCATGAATGCTTTGGAACAGACTTCGGATAAGTATGGCTCACCTGTTGATCACTTGATCTCTGATCTCAACTCAAATATGCGTTCAATATATTGACAGAAAACAAGCATTTTTTGTCGACCTCTTCGTAAGGGTTTCCAATAGAGTGGCCGTTGATATGTATAAAAGACTCGGTTATAGTGTTTACCGAAGAGTTTTAGAGTACTATTCAGGAGATCCAGACGAAGATGCGTTTGGTATTTAAGACGTGACTTTAATTATGACAATAAGTGGTGACATAATCTATTGTTACAGATATGCGAAAAGCCTTACCTCGAGATAAACACAAGAAATCCATAATCCCTTTACAACATCCCGTCAGACCTGAAGACTTGGAGTAAGGGTTTCAGTAGAACTTGATTTTAGTTCATAAATAAAAGTGAAAACATTTCAAATGTTAAAAGGATATGAATTCCAGTGTTTTATTACCGGTAAAAGAAAACTAGTTTTATATACACTTAATGAATGCAATGATAATGTGAACCAATGCTCACAATTGACACAATTATTGGACGCTTTCCTGTTGTGATTGTTTCCACTTCTTAGCCATCTCTAAGAACCTGAGGTGAGGTAAGGCTTCCTCATCGGTCGGGAAGATGTAGTCGTAGTACTCCTCCCAACCGGCGTCTGAGCCATCATTGGTCTGCATCTTACGTCTCTTCTTCACTTTCTTCGGCATCTGTCGGTTGACGGCGTCGCGGGTCGAGTCGGTTCCGTACTGGTGTTCGAACTCATGCCAGGCCTCCAGTAACATCAGACGCGACTCCTTCTCCTCGCAATTCTTGAGCGCTTTGTTGGCCCTCTCGAAGACGGTCCTCGTCTGTGCGATACCACTATCGCTGCCGTCCGACCCCTGGAACTCGAATCGAGCGAAACTGATCCACACTTTGACGTGTTGTGTGCGCTCAAGAAGTCGTTCGTAGAGCATACGGGCCCTCTCGGACTCCTGCTGCTCGACCTCGAAGTCGATATAAGACTTCCAAATGACTTCCGGCATATCGAGTCTGGACTGATCGATGGCGATCTCATATATAGCTCGTCCGCGATCTACTTCTCCCAGAATAGTCTCCAGTTCTGCGAACTTCATCCAAACGGTGCAGTTTTGCGGCGAAAACTCGAGAAACTTTTGGTAAAGTAGGCGACACCTGTCGAACTCTCGCAACTGGATCTCGAGTTCAATGTATTCGCGGAAGAGTTTGTCTTTAGGACACAATCCAATAGCGGTTCCCAACAGTTTCCGAGCGCTATTCAAATTCTTTTGCCTGATCTCGAACTTTGCGGCCAATATCCAGAATTTTGCAAAAGTGAATGTCTTATGTGGTAATAGTTTTAGACAAAACTGATAGACTTCTCGGGCTCTGTCTATGTCTTTAGCGTCGAGTTCTTCAAATAATGCATAACTGATCCATAAATATATATATCGTCTCCAAAAGCGTTTCTCTTTCTTCGGGGGAATGTTAGCGATGGCGCGCTCGTAGATCTTACGCGTGGACTCCATGTCCTGTTCCCCTTCCATGAGTCGGATGTAATCAAACCAAATGTCGTAATTGTGAGCATTTGTCTTAAGCTGTTCCTCGTATTGATACTTCCGTTTACTGATGACAATGTCTTCGATGCCAACTCTGTCTCCGAACTTCTTCTCGAAGAGGGAGTACTGTTGGAAGAGTTGTTTGGTGTGTTCGCTGGACAGCTGTTCCAAAGCGTATTTGTAGATAACTCTCACCCTTTCGTATTCCCTGTGATTCTCTTCAAACTTAGCGAAAGCCATGAAAAGTGTTTCGTCTGAATACTCGTCGCCGAAGAAGTCAATGGCTTTCTCGTAGACCTCTCTGGAGTGGGCAATGAATCCGTGATGTTCCTCGAATTTGGCGTATTTGATCCAATTGGTCACCTGCGGGTGCACTGTCACGAACCGGGCGTATATATGTCGCGCCCGATCCACCTCTTTGTACCGCAACTCAAACTTTATGAAAGTGAGCCAACACTGGGACTCCGGCTCCCATTGCATCCACCGCTCGAACACCTGACGACAGGCCGACACGTTGGCCAACATCTCCTCCATATACACGTATTTATACCACAATTGGTTGACTCGCGGCAACAGAAGCACCGCTCTGTCCAACACATTCCTCGCGTGATTCACTTGTCGGGCCTTCATCTCCATCTCCGCATACTTGAGCCAAATGGTGACATTCCTGTGGTCCACATCCAGAGCCCTCTCGAGCACAGAGCGCGCCCTTTGGATCTGTTGTTGGCTTTCCTCCCATTTGGCGTATTTGATCCAATTGGAGATCACCAGACGGTTCTTACGGATGTTGTCCTCAAACGCCTTCCGTTTCCTCAGCTGATAGTCGGCTAACTCTTCGGGGTCTGAGATCTTCTGTTTGGGCGGTGGGGCCACGATCTCCAGGTCCCTCTCCTTCGCCTCCCGTAACAGCTGTTCCGCTGTTATCTGGATTTCGGCCGGAGTTTTGTTCTTCACTTTAGTCTTCGCCGCCTTTCCTTTTGGTCCTGAAGACGACATTTTC